CTCAACAATTTCCCACTTCAATACCTATTCAATTCTTATATAATAACATTGTATGAATGTATAGCATGCTCTGTGGTGGTGTTGAATTGAATGGTTGGTAATTTCTCTGGAATATAGTTATTTTACATCTATCTATATTCATGGAAGGAAGTTAAGTTTGGCTAAATAAAAATTACTTACACCAGTATTTTGGATATGATTGAGACGTCACATTTGAATTTGGGAACATCTAAAGGTGGTAGAATATGCCAAGATTCATGAATCTGTATTGTAACACTTAGCTTAAGAATTAAGACCATGCTCAATTTCCTGGTCTTGAAGTCTTGATAACCTTAAAGTAAACCACTAGGACACAGTCAGCAAAATATGAATCTCTGTAAATGAAGCTGTGCCTTTGACCCATGCTTCATTCTAGACAGTGAGTGACTTTCTAGAGACCTCACTGTTGTAATACAAGAATGATAGCAACCTGTGATAACACTTATACAGGAAGTTAAGTAGATCAGGCATTAGTCTTAAAGTTACTTTGAAGAATATAAGGTTACTTTCTTGGTGAATATTTCAGAAAACTCTTAAGTTCTCTTTTAGAAGCATCATTGTGTGCATTTGATTATAAAAGACTCCAAAAAGTCATGCAATTAAAAGAAAAAAACCTGCTTAGGTTTATTTAACATAGTTTCCCATATTTGTCTGACCACAGGAATCAAGTGAACCTTTATTAACATTTATTTGACTGTTCTTTTTGGAAGTGCTATTTTAATCATGAGAATTCTGCTTTGGTGGCCAAGAATAGCAGAAAACTAATATACATCTAATTGAGGATACTTCCTTCTCAGAGCTTTCTTGTTGTAAAAACAGCAGAATTCATTATACTTCCTCTAATTTGCTCTCCCATGTTTGTTACTTTGGTTTGAAGGAAATTTCCATAGTGGATATTGTGCTAGAAGGGGTTGAGATTTCACAACATTTCTATTGCAAGTTAGAGAAACCACTTTTACACAATGCATGATTAAATTGACCTATAAATCATGAAACTGTGTGAATTTATGACTAAGAGTTTCTTTCAGAATATAAAAAATATGACCTTGGTTAAATCTTCAAAAATCTTAGTTCTGAAGGCAGTGCACTACTGCAGTTAGAGAAAGCTGTGCGTGCCACTCTTCCTCCCTCGAGCCATGTAATAAACTGCTCGGCTGTCCCCGTGGCTGTAATTGAGACACCTCACTGCAGAGTCGCCCTGCAATCCAGCTCTAATCACATCTCACCTCTTTGCTCAGAAGAAAAGTCTTAGGTAGAGATAACAAAAAGCCTGGCCACATTAGATTTCTACAGACCTTTTTTTCCCCTTCTCTCAGGTCACTCCCTTACCTATTGCCTGACTCTGTTTTAAATTGATGTTCTTGCTACTAGCAGAACATCTCATCTTGTGATCTCTGCAGTGTCCACATAAGCTAACACGTTTTTTTTTCCTGCTCCTGAGAATTGGTAAACGCAAGGATGATGTTTCATGTTGCAGCCTTCCTCTGGTGAAAATGCAGTGTTGTCTACATTATGCAGGAAAGTGTAGTAGGTTTTAGGGGTTTAAGAGGCTGTGAAGCATGAAAACATAAGCCATCTGGATAATTGGCAAGCATATATTAAATCCAGAGGCAATAGTGTGCACATAGTGGGTGCTCTCCCTGGCACTGTTCTACTCTGCTTTCTTCGTCACTCCAGAGGAGCCCAGGAGAATGCAGGGCAGTGGGGTCAGAGCAGGCAGGACCATGTGATGTCCAGCAAAACTACAGGGCCCTCATCCAATAGCAGAGACTCCAAAAGAGACTGCTGTAATCCCATCTGGATACTGTCATATTCTTAGGCTGGGATTCCAGATTCTCTAGTTTACTGTTCATATTTATGATTTAAAACAGTATGTAAAGATTGAGTCTAGCCACAAAAATGGGGTCAGAAAAGGATGTGGCTTTAGCATGAATTCTCAGTCACACTGCAAGTAAGAAGAGGAGGTCTCCCCACTTCCTACACTCATTGTCAGTCATTTGAAACATCTGGATTTATTCTTTAGGATCAGTAAGCTTTATAGTATTAAGTGCAATTCATCCTTTCATCTTATATGTTTCCTGCTAGTTTGCATGATTACCATTTAATTGAGCTATATGTAACTCAAAATATTGAACTGCTTTTCTGCAGTCTTTTATCATTGACCTGCTCATATGGCTTCCTCTTCATTATGGGAGGCCTGGGAACCCCTATTAGTAGTAATTAGGTTGTGATGAACTTTAATATTTGGGCACCTGTTTACTTTTTAATTGTGTGTGTATATATAACAATAAATCCATTCATTGTCTTGCACATATATTTGTCCACTGATGTAAGGCTGTCCTGTCAAATACTCGAAGCACTTGACACAGGTGGCATTTTAATTTCAAATTAAGGTATTTAAACTTGCACATCTTAGTAGTAGCATGTTATCAGCTGCTCAGTAGCCATATGTACAGTGGCTACCCTACCGGACTTCAAAGATGCGAATCCTCTCACCCAAGACAATTCAGTTAATTAGTGCAGCTGTACTAAATGATTCCAAAATGTTAATCATATTATTTCAAGAACTTTTATCACCAAAGCATGTTTTCACTTAATTAGGATTTATATACTAAAAGTACTTGGTTTGTTTGCTTTCAGACATTGCCCTGGGACCTGTGGACGGTAAGAGTACTAAGAATTCGGTCTGATTCCCAGGAAATTGTGAAAAAGTGGACCCATACATTCTCAACACTGTTGCAGTCCCCTAGAACAGCCATCAAACCTTGACAGTTCCAGGCATTATCAGCTTCCAAAACAGTGGTGAGGGGGCACATCAGAGCATCATGCTCCTGGATGCACGAGGATTTGGTGTTGACATGCACACTTGTTACTGCTTTTAAGTAGACTATAAGAAAAGCATGTATGAGCAGATGTAAGGCGGAGGTTGCTGTGCAGGAAACCATTTTCTCATTATTTAGTGAAAGTTTATTAATAAGGATTTGATCTGTGGAGTTAAACTGCCCTGGATTTAAGTCCAGAATCTGTTTCTTATAAAAATATGACTTTGAGCAATTTCTGAAACTATCTTAGCTTCACTTTTTATCATGTAAAATAACGATAATGATACTTTGGTGGATTGAGGACTAAAGGAGATAATAATAGTAGAGTCTAATCCAGTGGCAGATACATATCAATAAAAGACAGATGTTACTACTGATGTCATTTTCTCAGCTAATGCTGAGTGCGGGGGTGAATACTTGCAGAATTTATTTGAATACTTTAGAATTTAGAGTTGGGAAGAAACACAAACAGCTTTGTGGTAGCAGCATCTGTGCTGTGAAATTAGGAGATTGAATACACCCATATAAGTCTCAGTCTTTGGGGCAGAGCGTCGGTCTTCTCAGTAACAAAAGTGCCCTAAGCTTGATCTTAAAAACCCATCTTGGGTTTCCAGCTTTGCCGTTTTTTTTTTTTTCTCAGTATGACAATAACAGGAGATTTTAATAGATCTTTTTTTTTTAAATATTTATTTATTTATTTGTACAGAACTGGGGTACAGGCCAGAGATGCGGAGGGTGAGAGGATTCACCAGAGACAGAGTG